AATCTGTGCTGTAGCTGGAGAAGGTAGACATTTTTCTTGCTTCCAGGTCTCTTGGTTTAAGCCCAGCAGTTCCCTGCTTAGCTCCTAGATTGGTGCTAGTGGCTACCAGTTGGATGGATGGAAATGAAAGGGATGAATGGGCTGGAACAGGATGATAGTAGTTTGCCTGGTATCGGGAAGAACACTGAACCCTGGGTCTAAGGCCCTCTGCCCACTGTCCAGCTGCACAGCTCTCAAGCTGTGTCATGGAGGAGCCACTTCTCTGGGCCTTGGTTTCCTCCTTTGTGGTCTTGGAGAGTCACACGAGCTTTTCTGAACCTCTCCAGAAATGGGGACACTTTCTGATTTGTCTTTCTTGTATGGCTTGTGTGTATGAACATGCTTCACAGATGTTTCAGCGGTAAGAGTTTAGCTGTTGCTCCTAATTGGAAGCAATCTTGGAAGGGTGGGGAAATAGGGACTCAATATAGAAAGAGGCATGACAGCAGAGCATGAGTGAGAAGAGAACTGGGACATGGCTTTCAGAAAAGATTTCCAAGGCTCCTGTTAAAACCAAAAGGCAAGCAAACTCTGAGGAGCTGTCAGGCTGTTCCTGGGATCTGGGGCAGAAAGACAGTGGAATAAGTGCCTTGCCTCTGCATTTAACACCCTAGTCCTATATTAGAGAAGCTGAAAAACTGAGGCTGTGGAAGGTGAGTCCCCCATGGGATGCAGTTCTAGTTTTGGTTTGTTTTTGCCTTTTTTTTTTTTTTTTTTTGAGATGGAGTTTCACTCTTGTTGCCCAGGCTGAAGTGCAGTGGCAGGATCTCGGCTCACCACAACCTCTGCCTCCCGGGTTCAAGTGATTCTCCTGCCTCAGCCTCCTGAGTAGCTGGGATTACAGGCATACACCACCACGCCCAACTAATTTTGTATTTTTAGTAGAGACGGGGTTTCTCCATGTTGGTCAGGTTGGTCTCGAACTCCCAACCTCAGGTGATTTGCCCACCTCGGCCTCCCAAAGTGTTGGGATTACAGGCGTGAGCCACCGTGCCCAGCGAGTTCTAGTTTTTAAGATAAGCCTCCAGGTCGCAAACTTGTCCGTTGGAATTTGGAATCCAATGCAATTGCCAACTTATTTTTTTCAAAGCCAACCTAAGACCGATGGAAGATTTGGTTCAGGATGTTATGCATTGCTTCAAGTAGAGTCTTAGGCTTTAATTGAAGATCACAGTTGGCCACAGGTGCCAGGCTGTGGAGTCAGAGACTTCATTCAGAGCAGGGCTCCATGTTTAATCTGATTCTTGCATTACCCCCTTATATCTTACGGCGTAGAACAGTTACAGTGTATATCCTGACATAGGCATATATACATGCAGATTTTTATATTACAAGGATTCTCGACTATTTAGTAAGATGTAACATACAGAAGGCCCAGACTCAGTAATGAGCTTCCGCGGACTTATAAATCAGCCACACCCTGCTGGATTATCTGAGATTGATCTGCCTGTTCACCCATTTATTCATGGATTCACTGGTCATTATTTAGTGCCTCCTACACCCATAGGATAGCCAGTGGGGGTGAGAGTGGGGAAACCTAGTGTCAAGTAAAATAACAGCTCCCCTTCCCCACCTCTGACGGCTCGGTCTAGTGAGAGCAACCAATGGTGGGATTGAGGTGATGCCTGGTGCTTAGTAAATTCTTGCTAAATGGAAGAATGAAGGCTGGGCGTGGTGGCTCATGCCTGTAATCCCAGCACTTTGGGAGGCTGAGGCAGGTGGATCATGAGATCCGGAGGTCAAGACCACGGTAAAACCCCGTCTCTACTAAAAATACAAAAAATTAGCCTGGCGTGGTAGCGGGCGCCTGTGGTCCCAGCTATTTGGGAGGCTGAGGCAGGAGAATGGCATGAACCCGGGAGGCAGAGGTTGCAGTGAGCTGAGATTGCACCACTGCACTCCAGCCTGGGTGACAGAGTGAGACTGCATCTCAAAAAAAAAAAAAAGGAATGAATGAAGAAACACAAGAATGAAGCCATGGGTACTGGAAGGGGGTGTGGCCAAGAAAACATCTTAAAAGTGTGATACCTATATTGTTTTGGTCACTCTCTCCTTCAAGAAATAGGAATAGACTTTCTCCCACATGCCAAGTGGTGTGCCAGGTGGCAAGGACACAGTGGTATGTGGGGCAGACATGCCCTTGCCCTTATGGAGTTAACATGTTGGTGATAATGCTTTGTTGCAATGCAAGGAACACTGAAAATATAGAGGGGCTATGCCCAGCCTCGTCCCCAGAGTCAGCGAAGATCTCTCTGGGAAGTGGTGTTTACACTGAAATCTGAAGGGTGAGTAGAAAGTACAGAGGGAATGGGGAAGGTGTAAGCCAGTGATGCAAGGGAGGGAGGCCTGAGTTACAATTTACAAGGATCCCCCTGGCTGCTGCCAAGAGCGGGAGTTGGCATTAGAGGCGATGGCTATTTTAAGACTGGCTAGGAGGCTGTGGCAGTGATCTTCGTGCCTTAATTCTCATTTCTGAAAAGAAAGAGTTTTGTTCCTGTAGCTTTCCCAGACCCTGACCCCTAACTGTGCTGACTCTGGTCACGTTCGTGTATCTTCTATGTAACATCCTGCCCCCATCAGCAGGTGCCAAATAGAATCTGTTTATAGTCAACACCACACATGGTTGGTTTCCAGAGCCAGGCAAATTCCTTTAGACAACTCTGGGCTTAGACAGTCACTAAATGCTGTTGTTTCTCCCTCTAAAAGAGCTCTTGAATCTCCCACTCCTCCTTTTGCCCAGGGCCCTGCCTTCTGGCCCTCATTATCTCTTCAAAATCACCAACTCGACAGGGACTGAACTTTCTTCCTAACACACATGTTTATCCTCATGTGTCGCCATTGCCAGGGGTGTAAAGATACCTCAGTGGTTGTATCAGTCAGCTTTCTCTGTATAACAAACAGCCCCAAACCCCAGTGCCTAAAAATAGCAGACATTTATGATTTCTGTGGGTTGATGATCTGGTCTGCAAAGTGTGTGTTAGGCTGATTGCCTGTGCTGGCCCATCTACACATCTGGAGGCTGAGCTGGGGTGCCTCAGCCTCTCTCCACACATTGTTATCCTCCGGGGGCTACCTCAGGCTTGCCAATGTGACAGCAGAATGATTTCCAGCAGCAGCTGGGCATGGCGTGACTCATGCCCAGGAACTTGAGACCAACCATGGCAACACAGCAAGACCCTACAAAAAATAAAAATAATTAGCCTGGTGTGGTAGCATGAGCTACTCAGGAGGCTTAGAGGGAGGATCGCTTGAGCCTGGGAGGTCAAGGCTGCAGTGGGTGGTTGTCATGCCACGGCCCCTCCAGCCTGGGCAACTGAGTGAGATCCATCTCCCCCACTCCCCCCAAAAAAAAAAAAAAAGAATGATTCCCAGCAGCAAGAGAGAGGAACTTTTAGACATAAGCACTTTTAAAGTCTTTATTGGTGTCACCTTTGCTATTGTGCCATTGGCTAAAGCAAGTCTCGTGGCCAAACTTTGATTCCCCTTCATGCTGGGGGGCGGGGGGGCAAAGCCACACTGCAGAGTGTGCATGCAGGTGGCCTGAACACATTGGGGCCATTTCTACAGCAACGGTTATGAGGGAGACTTTACAACCAGACTGAATGGGGATGTTTTCTGTGTGGTCTGTTCCCTGCCACGTACTGCTTTTGTCCTACTGAACAGGTTTACTCGTCAGGTCTCAAAGCCTCAGCTGCCCCTCCTTAAAATGGGAATCATCCTTGGGACCACCTCAGTGATTTCATGAGAGGGTCTAAAGAGAAAACTGAGTGTCTGCACGTCTCTCAGTGCTTGGGGCCCAGTAAGAGTTGAGGGTTTCTGTGCTATTCTTAGTGTCAGATGAAGTCTTCTTTTTCTTTCTTTCTTTTTTTTTTTTTTTTTTTGAGACAGAGTTTCGCTGTCACCCAGGCTGGAGTACAGTGGTGTGATCTCAGCTCACTGCAACCTCATCTCTCAGGTTCAAGCAATTCTCCTGCCTCAGACTCCTGAGTCTCTGGGACTATAGGCACGCGCCATGTGCCACCACACCTGGCTAATTTTTGTATTTTTAGTAGAGACAAGGTTTCACCATGTTGGCCAGGCTGGTTTCGAACTCCTGACCTCAAGTGATCCACCTGCCTTGGCCTCCCAAAGTGCTGGGATTACAGGCATGAGCCACCACGCCCAGCCAGATGAAGTCTTCAGAAGCCCTTTCCTACCTGGCCTCAGGTGGATTTATCCTAACCCCGATGTCACACTTTCACATTCGTATCTTACATGTTTATTTTTCCTTTCCCCATGTTTTGTGTTTTTACTAAACAGCACCTCACTAGCGCTTCGTTCAGGGAGCAGCTAAAAATATCATGTCCTCTTCAAATTCTTCTTCCAGACGGAGTTAGTCATTTGTCCTTTTTTTTTTTTTTTTTTTTTTTTGATGGAGTCTCTCTCTGTCTCCCTGACTGGAGTGCAGTGGTGCGATCTCAGTTCACTGTAACCTCCACCTCCCAGGTTCAAGTGATTCTCCTGCCTCAGCCTCCCAAGTAGCTGGGACTACAGGCGTGCGCCGCCATGCCCAGCTAATTTTTGTATTTTTAGTAGAGATGAGGTTTCACCATGTTGGCCAGGCTGGTCACGAACTCCTGACTTCAAGTGATCTGCCCGCCTTGGTCTCCCAAAGTGCTGAGATTACAGGTGCCCAAGCCTGTATTACATTTTCCTGAGTTGTTTGTGTATTTTTCTGTTTTCTCCCGGTCTGAACTCCCTGAGGAGAGGAGTTGTGAGTTACTCACCTTCCTGTCCTGGTGTCTGGCTCTTTGCCTGGAACAGAATAGGTGTTTGTTTAACAGATAGTGCTATATAAATAATTGGATGAGTGAATGGATTAAGTGAGTGAATCTCTTTTCATTATCTTGAGTCATCCTAAAAAGGCAGAGGATGGACTAAGTGCCAAAACTGACCTAAACTTTTCTCCTCTTCCCCTCCAGCCGGTACCATTTTCAGATTTCATCTTCCTGAACTGGAAATGCGAATGAGAGGAAATTAACATCCCCAAGAGCTGCAGTGAGCAAACGCATTGAGCTTGGGTCAGGACAGTTCCATTTGGGGACCAGAGATGGACGGTCACTCAGCCTGTGGAGGTAAGTGACTAATCTGCCCGCAGCACAAGTGAGATGTGCTGCCTTTTCTGTTTTGTTTTGTTTTGTTTTGTTTTCCATTGATTATGTTACATGGAGGATGTGGAAGATATTCTCCTATTTCTTGGTGTCTGAAACATGTCCTGCTTGTCCAGAAACGTGCCATTAAGAGGAATTCCCAGGCCCGGCGCGGTGGCTCAAGCCTGTAATCCCAGCACTTTGGGAGGCCGAGATGGGCGGATCACGAGGTCAGGAGATCGAGACCATCCTGGCTAACACGGTGAAACCCCGTCTCTACTAAAAAATACAAAAAACTAGCCGGGCGAGGTGGCGGGCGCCTGTAGTCCCAGCTACTCGGGAGGCTGAGGCCGGAGAATGGCGTGAACCCGGGAGGCGGAGCTTGCAGTGAGCCGAGATCCGGCCACTGCGCTCCAGCCTGGGCGGCAGAGCGAGACTCCGTCTCAAAAAAAAAAAAAAAAAAAAAAAGAGGAATTCCCATGGCAGGGGAAGGGGAATACAGTGTCCCTCAGGAGAAAGATGCAGATTGCTAGTATCTAGCAGCCTTTCTTTTTCTTAAATGGAGAGCTTTCTGAGCTCTCATGAACACTGGTGACTGTTAGAGTATCTAGCAGCCTTTCTTTTTCTTAAATGGAGAGTTTTCTGAGCTCTCATGAACACTGGTAAGTAAAAACCTGAATTCAGATCATCCTTTGATGACAAGTGCCTGTCATCCCGAAGAAGGCCTGGCACGACACTCTGGTGTGTCCTAGAGCAAGTGTCAGCAAACTGTGGCCTACGGGACAAGCCTGGCCCAGCCTGCCTTTGTAAATAAAGCTTCGCTGGTGCCCCGCCACGCTCATTTGTTCAGGTGTCATGTACGGCTGTTTTCACACTGCGGCAGCCTGACTGAGTCATTACCATAGAGACTGTGTGGCTGCAAAGTCTGACGTATTTGTTCCCTGGTCCTTAACAGAAAAGGTGTTGCAACCTCTGTTCTACAGCTGAGCTGTCCACACAGAGCCACTCCATATGGGGATATGGAAATTTTAATTAAAATGAAATAATATGAAGAATTCAGGGCTCAGTCACATCATATTTCATGTGCTTAGTAGCCACATGTTGCTTATGGGTACCCATGGACAGTGCAGATAGAAGACATTTTTATCAGTGCAGAGTTAGCTTGGGAAAAATTGAGATCACCCGGGATGTGTCACTTCATTCTGCTGGTCTCTAACCCAGCTTGGGCATAATTGCAATCATTGCAGAAGAAGAAGGAAGGCTGATGTCTGTGAGTGTGTATAGCTGTTTTCTATATGATTACTGGCAAGGGCCTCTCTCTCTCTCGTGTGCACTCTCTCACTCTCTCTAGTATAAGAATGGAGTAGCTTTTAACATTTCTTTGGGAGCCATCTTGTGGTGTCTGTTTGTGACTCCATGTAAAACAAATCCACTTGGGCCTTGGGGTTTATTCGTTTTATTTATACAAGTAGATATGGATGTGAGCTTGAACCCTTCTGGGGTCCCAGGTAGGTCAGGGGCCATGTGGGGCCTCCTCTAAAGGGGAAGAAGCAATGGCTTCCACGTTCCCAAGGGGTAAATATATGGTCAAGAGCGATAAGAAACAAGGAGAGGAAGAAAATGAGCAGAAAATGTGGCATGTGTGAGTCTTAGAAGAATGAGGAAGAATGGAGACAAAAGACAATATGGTTCCTGGTTATGGTCATAGGTTTACTTTGAGAGAACATGTTGAACAAAGTAATGATGCTTGGGAATATACCACCTCTCAGAATTGTGCTGAACACAGACAGTTCTATATGATAGACAGGTGGGGGAGAGCCTTGAACCTGGAGCTAGCTCACCATCTTAGATGGGACAAGATTGGGAGCATAACAGGAGGTTCTGCTTGGTGCATAAACCAATGCAAGTGGGAATAACAAGGGCTGATCATAGAGATGCACAGTTTGTATGGAAGGGACCCAAGAAAGAAGAGAGAAGAGACTCTAGATGGCCAACAGGTCTGGGCAAAAGCCCTACGTTTGGCATTTAGAAGTTGGGCTTTCTTACCTTTGGGTTACCCAAGCACAAGCAAGAACAAAGCAGAGACTCCATTGATGAGAAAAGATCCAATTGATATGTATTCTGCACATCTAGGTTTGAAAATGGCCCCCTGCCTCTTTGTTTTGGTTGGTCTTCAAGCACCTCACCATTACAGAGGAGTGCTGTATGCGTTTTAAGCAGGCATTTCTATAGCAAACCTTCAAACCATGGAGTTTAATGCAGATACGAAGTAATTATAAGTAATACAAATAATAGTATTAATTTTTTAGTTATTTCTTAGAATCAAGCATATCAAGAATGATGATGATGGTGATGATGTTAACAGTGATAATATTTTTTATCCATTTCTAGCTTATTATGTGCCAAGTGCACTGTTCTACTAATAATTATTATCATTATTACTAATAATAATTATTATAGCTTTAAATTATTGGGCACATACAATGTACTAAGTAATATATTGATTTTTTTCTCAATCTCGTGAAACCAGAGCATTCATTTCCATTTGTAATTTTTTTCAATTGTTTTATTTTTATATGATTGCAAATGTATAGAAAAGTTATAAGAACAGCCAACAAATTCCTGGACTCCTTTTGTCCAGGTTTTCAAATGTTCGCATTTTATCATGTTCATTTTTTCTTTTTTCTCTACATTTTTTTCTGAAATCAGAAACTTGTATCTTAGAATACAACTTTCTAAGTCAGAAACTTAACGTTAATTTGACTATTATCTAACTTTCTGATTTCTCATTCAGATTTCACCAGTTGCCCCCGATAAATTCCTTTATGGCAAAAGAAAAGCCCGTTGGCATGTGTCTTTCTTGGAAAACTTTCTTAATCTCGTATTTCAGCACGTTAACCTTTTTGACAAGTTCAGGCCAGTTATTTGATAGAATGCGCTCAATTTTGGCTTTTCTGATGTTTCCTTGTGATTAGGTTGGCAGGACTAGCCCAGAGCTGATGTGTCCTTTTCAGTGCATTGTATCAGGAGGCACCAGTGTGGCTGTCTCCCATTACTGGTGATGTTAGCTTGGAGCTCTCAGTTAAGGTGGTGTCTTCCAGGTGTCTCCACTGCAAAGTTACTGTTTCACCTTTGCCATTAATAAGCATCTTACGGGGAGAAGTTCTGAGATTGTGTAGATATCTGATTAGTCCTCTGTCTATCAGTCATTAGTTTTAGCATCTTTTGATGATTCTTGCCTGAATAGATTTATTATTATCATAGTTGCCAAATGGTGATTTTTCTAATTTCACTGTTTCTTTTTCGTTTATTAGTTGGTTTCCTACTATAAAGAAGAAATTTTCTTCCTCTGTTCATCTTTTTTTTTTTTTTTTTTTTTGTTAGACAGAGGAGTCACTCTCACCCAGGCTGGAGTGCAGTGGTGCAGTCTTGGTCCTTGCCCACTGCAACCTCTATCTCCCAGGTTCAAGCAGTTTTCCTGCCTCTGCCTCCTGAGTATCTGGGATTATGGGCATGCACCACCATGCCCAGCTAATTTTTGTACTTTTGGTAGAGATGGGGTTTCACCATGTTGGCCAGGCTGGTCTCTAGCTCTTGACCTCAAGTGATCTGCCTGCCTTGGCCTCCCAAAGTTCTGGGATTACAGGTGTAAGCCACCATGCCCAGCCCTTCCTTTCTTTATATCAGTGTGGACTCATGGATTTTAATTTTATTCAATAGGTTGCAGTCTTTTGTGATCATCAATTATTTTGATATTTACATTGCCCCAAATCTGTCCACTAGGGCCTGGCTCCTGTGTCTCTAACATTTCTCCATCATAATTTGAGCACTTGCTGCCTTGTTGTCACAGCAAGGTATTCTAGCCTCATCTTCTACTCTCCTCACCTCAGTGGTGGAATCAACATGGGAGCCTTGGTTCCTTTTCATGGGAAATGGTGTTTAGAAACCAAGATCTGGCCACTAGGTGTGCTTATTGTTCCTGGGGTAGCATTGCCTCTAGGCCCTCTGGGCAGACATAATTGGGGTGTGTGTGTGTGTGTGTGTGTGTGTGTGTGGTGTATCACACAGACAAGCACATTTCTATACATACATATGCACATCCACATGTACATCCACACATCATTCAGATCATTTTCAAATTGACCTATCTATCTATTAAAATCACCGTGAGTTCACACTAATGGTGCTAGGACATTCTGGAAATTCATGTCTATCTGAATGATGCTGAACAGTCATTCTACTTTCACTGTCAACGCTACCACCAGCTACATTTATTAAACCATGTTCAGGCCCAGTTTTAGACCCTTTCCCTCTCTGTTACTTCTGACATCAACTCAGTGGCCCAAGTACAGATGAGCAAACCAAGACTCTGAAAAGCTAATTAACTTGTGCAAAGTTATACAGCTGGTAAAGTGGCAAGCTTATAGGGAGCACCTGTTTGTCCCTCAGCTTTTGATCAAAGGGCCTAGGGAGAAACCTCTGTCTCAGGACAAAAACAAGAGCAGAAGACCGGGGTAGCATTTGTCCCTGCTGACAGCATTTGTCACAGTGCAGGCCAGCCAAACATGTGGACCATGTGTATGGTCTGCGTCTCTCAGATGGAGTCCTGTTAGAAGGTGTGTGTAGATGCACATGGTGGTGTGTGTTGCATGTGGGAGTGAGAGTTTCTGTGGGGGATGCAGGACTGTTGTCTTGTCCTTGTGAAGACATTGATCAGGTTGAGGATGTGATTACAGAACCGGGCCTCTCCGCAGAGGGAACATTTCTTCTCTTGCAGGGTGGTTTCTTGGGAGAGCTGCTTCAGTGTGGAAGCCTTAACTTAAACACGTTTTGGTCTCCAGCTCCCAGCAAAGATGCAGAATGTGCACCAGATAAATGCTGGTTTCAGGCAGGCATTGACAAACATTTCTGAGCTGCTTCTGTGCCAGGCACTGCTCTAATCAGACAAAGATCCTAGCTAGGGGTGAGAAAGAGGAAGAGATATA